ACGATGGGAAGTGGCCACAGGCAAACCTTTTGATGGCGTCTCTTATCCACTAGGCGCATTGGTTTTCTATCGTTCCAAGGGGGACGGCATGGCAGAGCCCACAACTCGTCCAGGGTTGTTTGCCGGTTGGCATCTAGCCTCTGGGCTTCGGTATCGTGGCAATGTGAAAATCATGGACTATGAATCCGTCAGGGAGAGAGGACATTTGGAGTGGCAGCCACGTGTTTTGCATGAAAAGGAGGTTTATTTCCCTCCGACGGAACACATTGAGTTTCCTCTTGCATTAGCTGCGCGCAATGCCATGTTACAAATGACAGATGAGGAGAAAGAAGTCAAGAAGGCCATCTATGATAGATCTTTTGTGGAAGGAGTTTTGCCATATGATGTGTGCATTGATTCTTTTCCAGTTGACGCTCCTCCACCTCCTCCAAGACACGCTTACATAACATGGTCAAGGTTGATGAAACATGGATTCACCAGGGGATGTCCAGGATGTTCCATGGGACACAACCGACACTCACAAGAATGCAAGACAAGGTTTGACGCCATCTTCTCCAGACGTGGCGAATCTGTGGGACCAACTCCGAAACCAATACAGGATGGTGAAGAAACTGAATACGAACCATCCATAGCCCCAGATCAATTCCCTGAAGATGAAGTACCCATATGTCCACCGAGGTCTGATGATGACGAAGAGCTGCAACCAGCAGCAGTCACCAGACAGCTCCCGAGGTCGGAAATTCTCTCGCGCGCTGACGCGATAGCAGCGATCAAGAAGGAGTTTGACGGTATTGGGGACATGGGCACATGGGATTTGGGATCGGTTGAGGAGGAAGAGACGGTGAAAAGGCGAGCCATAGAGCATGGCCAGACTATCCACCTAGCAGACCTACTAGCCATATGTAGTGAGAAGAACGTTGAGCTAGAACCAAAGTTCAGAACCCTCAAAGGTAGAGTATGCTACAGGGGTGACGCAGCGAAAACTGCAAAGGGAAATGTCGCGCTATATCAAACCATGAGCGCGTCCCCTGCTTCGATCACTGCGGCCAACGCCATCATAGCATACGGTCTGTTGAAAGGCCACAAGATTTCATCAGCAGACGCCATCAAGGCGTACCTTCAGAGTGTTTTGAACTCATTGGCCGAAACTTGGGTCAGGTTACCCAGGGAGGTTTGGCCGGAAACTTGGTTTGACTCAAATGGAAAGCCTTTGTACCGGAGGCCGGTCATCAGGCTGCTTCGCAGTTTGTATGGCCATCCAGAGGCTGGAGCACACTGGGAAAGGAAACTGGAGCAAGAGCTGGTGAACATGGGAGCCACGAAGATTCCAGAATTCCCAAGTACATATGTGTTTCCTTCCTATGGCCATCTGGCTTTGGTGGTTTATGTGGATGACTTCGTTTTGAGCGGAGACAGTTCATACCACGATTCCTTTTGGGCAGACCTTTCTAAAAGAATCATGTTGGATGACATCGGAGACCTTGGTAGGTTTTTGGGAAGACATCATTCAACTGTAGAGTTCAGAAATCAAGAGCTATTCGCCTTTGATATGAGAGCCTATGCAGAGAGCATTGTCAATGGCTATGTTCGACTGATAGGTCACGCAAGACTCAAGAGGGTCAGCACACCCTTTCTTTCAAAGACCACTGTCATTGAGGAATCTCCAGCTAAGGGCGAACTGGCAAGTTCAGCGAGCTCCGTGCTCATGAAGCTGATGTGGCTGGCGCGATGATCGCGGCCTGATATGCTGAGAGTAACCACATGGTTAGCTACTAAGGTGCAACAGTGGACCACGGAGTGTGACAACCATCTTTTCAGGGCGATTAGTTATTTGAATGAAACAAAGGACCATTTACTCACTGGCCATGTAGGTGACGATTTGCAAGACATTTATGTTGAACTGTTTTGCGACGCGGACTTTTGTGGTGATGACGAACACACATATTCCACAACTGGTGGATGGGTACAACTGAGTGGAAAGCATACCAGTTTTCCATTGACCTGGATGTCCAAAAAGCAGGGTGCGGTCTCTAGATCAACAACTGAAGCTGAGGCGGCAGCCATGGCTACTACTCTATTTGATGAGGGTTTGACGTTGCTTGAGCTGTTTTCAGTACTATTCAGAAAGTCGGTCTGCTTGTTAATCCGAGAGGATAACGAAGCCACAGCCAAAGTGGTTTCTGCTGGCTATTCCAAGCGCTTGCGGCATATGAAGAGAACCCATCGTATAAACTTAGGCAGCCTCAAAGAGGAACTGGACAAGGACGATGTGGATCTGCAATTAGTTGCCAGCCGCTATCAGAAAGCTGATATCTTCACTAAGGGATTAGCAGGTGAACTCTGTGCAGCCTTCGTATGCTGATGCCAAGCCAGTATCTGTGCCTACTCAGGACAATCCGAAACCTAAGGCCAATGTGAAGAAGAGGTATAAGAAGAAAGCACCACGCATTCTTCCATACCACAAGGCTCCAGAGGACTAGGTCGGTGCCGAAGGATGCACTAGCCGGAGTCACTCGAGAGGGGGGAGTAGAAATTACTCGAATAACCCCTATGCCGTGTATGCATGTATATTGGAGTTGTTGCCACTGACTGTAAAGTGTACATAATGTCAGGGCTTTTACAACGGGAATAGACTATTCAAATAGTTATCAACAATGATAACTCATTTCCTTAATCCTGTAATCCGGGGTTTTGGTCATCAAACCATATACTTGGCCAACAACGTTTGGCTCAAGGTGCTCGCAAAACAATTGTTTGTGCTTCGTATCACTGGCCATTCTGCATTTGTTGTTTACTGCATCTTGAACATACGTGAATATTACTTCTGGTACAATTCCCGCATTCACTGAATTTACTGGAATTTTTGTAGATATTGTTTTAGTCTTTACAGTCTTTTTCATCATATGTAGTGCTTCCAACTGGAAGAGGATATTGGCAATTGGTAGCCGCGACTTCTTCCCTTCAGATAGGCGTTGCGGTCAAGCTAGGTCCGGGCGTTGCCGGTGCTTGGGATTCATCAGTCTCATCCTCCAGGGCCGCACGAATAGCTTTAATTCAGATTAGCCAAGTGGTGGCGAACATGTTTGAAATATGATGTTCACCATATTTTTCCAAAGTCATGAAAACATCATTAAAATTAAAATCATAAGCAACTCTTTCAAAATCATAACAAACCAAAAACAAATCATAACAAATCACAACTTTTTTTTAAAACAAAATGAAACACCAAAAAATGTCATAAAATTGAATTTTTGCTGTTGTTTCTTGATGATATTTCCTGTTTGTTAAAAGGTTTCAATTTTTTAGAATGATGTTTCAATGTTTTTGTGTTTTTATTGATATTTTTCTATGATTTTTTTTATGACGCTTTTGGAGCCGATCTCGAGTCTAGAGGGCGTTACTCTGTCCGCGGAGCTCTCTACAGTCTAGGGTTTGGGGTTTAGGGACCTAGTTTTTCCTAATGCGGCCCTCCTCGCGGGTTCCGGAGAAGGTTCCGGAGAAGGTGTGGGAAACTTTGGTGCAGAGCCAGGTCAGGTTCAACAGGATTTGCGGCCATTTAATTGACGGAAACCTAGCTGAGGTGTTTCCAGCGCTTGGCTTCGCAGCACGCTTCAGAAAGATTTGTAAAAATAAAACATTGCGGCTGTTGGGGATACCGCTGAAGCTTATTTTCTACGGTATGGCTGCGGTCAGCTTCAAAATTCCCGTAGGGCTTATATTGCTATAGACACTATTTTTGTTCCCTGGACGAATTTTGAAGTTTAAGGTGGACCAATATAGGCCCTATTTTGCCCCCTGGAAGGATTTTGAAGCTTAAGGTGGACCAATAAAGACTCTATTTTTGCTCCTTGGACGAATTTAGGTGGGCCAATAGAGGCCCTATTTTTGTTCCCTGGGCGAATTTTGAAGCTTAAGGTTGACCAACATAGGACCTATTTTTGTTTCCTGGATGGATCAAGGTAGTAGGTGGGTTTGAGTTAGCATATTATTTTGTTATATAGCAAGTAGCGGAGTTTCTACTAGTTTCAGTAAAGTTACAAGAAATAATATTGAATATTTCAATATCGATATTGAATATTGCACGGCTTGGTAACGGAGTCATTAAGAATTAATTATATTTATATACCATAAATAAAAATCCAAAAAACAAAAATTAAAAATCATAAAAAAAAGCAAAAATCATTTAAACACATAAATTTCATAAACAAACCAAAGAAATCATAAACAAGTCGTAAAATTTGTAACTCAATTCCAAAAACAATCAAAAATCACATGAATCATAAAAATATATATATTTTCAAAATTTCCAAATCACATCTGAAAAATTAAAAAGTCAAAAAAGCTAAAAAAACGACAACACAATTTTGTGGCCCAACTTGTAGATCTCAACTCTACTTTTTCAAGGTTTACGCTTTCACACTTTCCACTGTACGATGGACTTTAGACCCTCACAACTTTGCCCTTTTCACACTTGACGCTGTATGGAAGCTTGGCCTTGCTCCATTTTCATGTTGCGCGTGCACATCTACCTGTTGTCGTAAACTGTCGCCTCGCACTGCGTGACGTCTTCCCGTACTTCCAAAGGTCCACTCCGGTGCCGAAGGTGGACCTTTGAATTGTCCCGACTCAGTTGTCATGATCTTGTCTATGCTGAAAGTCTTCATTTGACTCGTGCAACAGTAGACAACGATCATATGTTCTCATCCTGATCCCCTCCAACATAACATACATGACTTCTCACTTAACTACCCTCCCCCGTCCCCTGAACCCCGGCTGGTTCGCAAGCAGTTTGGTCGCGGGTTCACTCTCCGCCTGGGGATACCAGTAACATGCGCAACCATATCATTCAGTATGTGTGTGTGTGAGAGCTGCCGAAGCCTGCGTTGCTCTGCTTCTCTTTGAACATGACCCTGCGCATCGCCCATGTGTTTCATGCCCATCACCTTGCCAAGCTAGCTTTCGCCCCTTACCCCTTGCCCTCAAGTTTACTATGGTTCCGCAGCTTTGCGTTCAAAGCAAAGACAGTGTGGCATGGGGCACGCTGCTTGCGCTCTGGGATGCGCGGTGCCGGGCCAATGATGTTGAAGAGACCTGATATGATTTTGCATGTCCAGTTGCCTGACTCCAATGATGCAGTGGTTGCCTCTGAGGATAGGGGATGCTCCGGTTGCGGCACGGCGCGAACAAATGTGGTGGAGGTGGAGGCTGGAGAACTGCCAGAGGTGTTCTGAGTTTGATTCCTGATCTTTCAGCAGGTTTCAACAGAAACACTTTCATCGAGACCCCGGCGCAGCCCACCTGAGGCAAATGTGTTTTTTTCTTGCAGCGGACATGGATCAAAATTATGGTGCACCCTTTTGGGATGGTTAGATTTTGCGAGAGAACGGCCATGCAA